CAAAGTGTGAATAATAATCCAGCTGCCGCATGAGCATTGCCGGTTGTAGCGGTGCCATCTTGAACTTCTGTCGATCGGCTTTACTGGAGCATTCATGTTGACGCGGTTTCTAAGGTAATTCTCATTCGATACCGGTGAAAAGAGGCTAAGCTCTCGTCCGTCACATGCCGAACATCATCAGAGCAAAGTATCATCGTCACAACCAAATTCACGCTAACTAGTCAAGAAAACTGTTTGACGATGATACCTTGCTCTGATGATGTTCCTCATATGACGGACGAAAGTCTAGCACCTTTTCACCGGAATCGGAGGGACTTAACTCGGAAACAGCGTCAATATGAAAGTTTCAGCTGGTCAAGAGGGATCTGCCGTCGTCTTCTGGTGCAAACGACTTTCGAATCTTTTCACGCAACACTTTCACTCGAAACGGAAGTAAGCACAACAATTATGAAACAAGCTATTCCTTTAAACCCAACTTTTCTTCGCATTAATCACACGCGTTTGGAAGTGACTCCCATTTAATAAATTTCCTAACAACTTTATTGTCTCACAACTTTTATTTTCGCATTCAAAAGGCAACTTCTAATTCTCTCTTTTGCCTCAACGTGTCCGCGCAAGCGTGCGGTTCAAGTCTGGACTATCAGATTCTTTAGGTTTCTATCACTCATTGCACTGCCAGAAGAAAGACCTATTTTCTACACACTTGTATGGGGAATATACAAATTAAATAATGATCACTAATACTTTGATCTTGTGTAGGGTGTATGTGTGTGAACGAAAACGGACTCAGCGTTTGACAAACCGTGCGCCGATTCAACACGTCATAATGTGGGTCATTGATGAGGAAAGGTACAAGGCGAGTAACTTTTATCAGAGCATGATTGGAGCGCGTGTTGGTGAGTCGGACGTGCAGCCTGCTTGAGTCTCCGCTTTTGATTGGTTCTAAAGGTCCCAGCTCGATAGAGTGGTGAGACTTGATTGGTCGGCGTGGATGGCTGGGTACGATGTGTCACGAAAGTAACGGTCGCAGTGGGCAATGGCGGGAATAGGTCACGACAAGCCTTTCACGAAATGCGGTACCATTTGCTGTCGTATTCATTCGCGAGGCCCGCAGCCGTAACTTTCACGTGTTTCCAACCGATCTCCGTCCCGCCAACGTCCCTCAAATATGGGATTGCTTTTATCTCCTTTTTTGGTTTGTCCACATGCTGTTTTACACATAAACGGCAGATGATGGCTGTATGCAGGAATGCAACTTCTTCAACCTTCAACCCTCGTCTAGGACCGCAATTTCTGATGTGAAATCCAGCAATTATTTATATTTTATCGATGCTTGCAAGGGCCGGAAGGCATTACTTGAGTTCACTCTGCCCTCTCCACTCCGGATGAGGCTATGTTGGAGTTGTGTGTTGTAAACTTTTGCGTCGACTTTTTACCAAATTTCCTACTCCCTCGTCAAAGTTTCGCTGTATACTCATGCCTCCGGGCCTGAGGCGAGGCATCTTCGAGTGCACAGGACCGGCGGTGTGTCGACGTGGAGTCGCGGAGTGTGCGGTTGACATGCTCCGGGTCGGCCCGTCACGGGGCACTCGGGTCCATTGTGGCCTCGCGACTGCCTGACCATCAGTTGCGAGACATCCACTCGTGAAGAGAATGGCAAAATGGGCGAAAATACTTTTGCCACAACTTACCGCTTCCCAGTCCAGCCGACTTGCCAGACGCAATCGGATTGGCCACAATCGGGCGACAGCCCTGGCCGGTCTTCTGGCCGGGCAATAAAGCTCTACTTTCACTAACGCACACACACACACACACAACTTTGCACACGTGCGCAAACACACACACATACACACACAGACAGACAGACAGATAGACGTAAGCAGAGCCAAACTGCATTACTTGTGTGTCTCATGCAGTAAACTCGTGACAAGCGTTGCAACTATTCCATGTCGAAGGGTCTCGGAGTCGACTTGACTACAAAAGTGGGCACGGGTCACTGTCCGGCCCGGGCGTGTACCGCGTCCAGATCGGACACGTGGACGGTCGAGAAACGTGTCGGTCTCGAGTGAGAAGATGGCTCGCGAGTTGGCGTCATTTATTTTATGTCAGTTGTCCTCGTCGAGGGTCTTCAAGTGAGCGCCGACTGTCGCGCGCCATTTTGCTACAGCCGTCGCCGTTGGCAACCGCGCCGGACTGCGACTATTGCCTCACGTCGTCGGCATCTTCGCGGACCAAGCAGAGCCGTGCGGAGGCGAGTGACCGCTTCGGGGGTCTCGTGGACCGAGAGGGCGGAAACTGGGCCTGTTCGAGCCCGCGCTACTGTCGTCAAGGCTCACCGGAAGACGCGGCAGAGTGGCCTCCCGTTGCCACCCTGAACAGGGCTGAGCTCAGCCCTACAGAGCGTCGGGTGAATGGGCTTCTTAGGCGGCCTGTCGACTTGGGACTCGACAGCCTCCGTCGTTGTGCGTCTCTGCTGTCGACACGCGAGCGGGCAGGCCGTCGTCAAGTTGGCAGGTTCACATCTTCTCGAAAATGAATCATCTCGCCTTTTTCGTTCATAAATATGGCTTCGAGGCCGGCAATAGATCAGTTATTCGACGTGTATTCACCCCATTTCATCTGAAGCGATGCAGGAATCGTGTTTTCTTTCTGAGAAGATGGGAGAGGATACAGACAGTTTTTGTAAAGAAACTTTGATACTTAATAGTTTTTCTAATTCAATACTACCAGTAAATCAGTAATATGAGATGTATTCACCCCATTTCATTTGAGGTGATGCAAGACTGGTAGTTAAATTTTCCCACAATGATATGAGTTGAGCTGACGTTTCCATTCCATTTCGCATAGCCTTGCCTTCCCAAAAGCTATTCTCATCCATGCACAAGTTGACAGCAGTTTCGACCTCACACAGATCTTAGCAACCGCCCCAACGGGAAACCAACCATGGCGGTACAGCGTCTAATCTCGACACCTTAACTACTCATTTTTCCATATCATATCCTTTGGTGGGATTGCTGACGAAGCGAGGTTATATTTGCTATGACAATCGACAACATTAATTATTTTTCGTTCGTGGGTAGGGTTTCGACACTGCCCTAAACGAAATATGGTGATACATCTGACTTGACTGTTTTACCGGTAGTCTCGACAGCCTACTCATAAACGAAAAATAAGTAATGCTGTCGATAGTCAGAGCAACTATGGCCTTGCTTCATCGACAATCCCACCATAGAATGTGAGATGGCGAAAAGCCTTGACTTGCATGAAATTTCCATCTGCTACCTGAAGCAAGGACACTCGTGGCAACGTGCCGAGATTACACGCTCTATTGCCATGGCTTGCGTCCCGTTGAGGAGGTTGCTAAGG